TTTATAGCCAGACTGGCCAAGCCCAGGAGCAGACCCATGAGGAGGTCCTCCAATCTGACCACACATCTTCGGACCAGGTGCCCAAAGATCAGGAGCATCCAGCTAAAGTGCAACCAAAAATACAACAGAAGGTTTTGCAAATAACTAAAAAGGGAGTGCAAATGCCCACAACCAATATATACATGGTCCAAGGACTCCACAACGCCTCAAAATAAACAGTTGTGCTAGGAGTCCATGACCCACCGTAATCTGCAGTTATAACATAAGAACATAAGAACTAGGAGCAGGAGTAGGCCATCTGGCCCCTCGAGCCTGCCCCGCCATTTAATAAGATCATGGCGATCTTTTTGAGACTCAGCTCCACTTACCTGCCCACTCACCATAATCCTTAATTCCTTTACTGTTCAAAAATTTATCTAGCCTTGCCTTAAAAACATTCAGCGAGGTAGCTTCAACCGCTTCACTGGGCAGGGAATTCCACAGATTCACAACCCTTTGGGTGAAGAAGTTCCTCCTGACCTCAGTTCTACATCTGCTTCCCTTTATTTTGAGGCTATGCCCCCTAGTCCTAGTTTCACCTGCTAGCGGAACAACCTCCCTGCCTCCACCTTATCTATTCCCTTCATAATCTTATATGTTTCTATAAGATCTCCCCTCATTCTTCTGAATTCCAATGAGTATAATGCCAGTCTACTCAGTGTCTCCTAATAATCCAACCCTCTCAACTCAATAACGGACTGCTGTACGCAATACCCTCCAGCCCAGGTTCCCAATGGAAAGAGGGAGGACTCCCACATAGACAGCCCTCCCCTGGGGATCCCCACAGTCTGGCAGCAAGTAAGCACACTAAGGCATGTCTGGGTTGCAGACATAAGAGTTGAGGTGGATGGTGTGCAGCAGCAGCCTGTACAAGATCTGCCATTTTGCCTCCCTAAATGACACACAACACATATTCAAGAGGCAGCTCAGGCTGTGAGGCACAGGATCCCGAGGAACCTGGGGACAATGTGAAATTTCAACCAAGCATACTCGCCCCATTCCCGCCTCCTTGACCTGTCTGTCTTCCCTCCCACCTACCTGCCCCTCCCTCCTCACTGATCAACTCCCATCCCAATTCCCTACCTACATTCACCTTTACTGGCTTCATCCCCGCCTCCTTGACCTGTCTGCTCCTCTATCCTCTTTCTATCATCACCTCCCCCTCTCTCTTTATTTCGGAGCCCACTTCCCCACCCCCATTTCTGAAGAAGGGTCCAGACCCGAAACGTCAGCCTTCCTGCTCCTCTGATGCTGCTTGGCCTGCTGTGTTCATCCAGCTCTACACCTTGTTATCTCAGGGGTACACACAGACAGGTTTCAGACGCACACCTGAGCATCCTCCAAATGATGCACAACATCGAGTCCAACCATCGCTGTTTTCAGGTGTTGGATGGCGTAGGCTGCAAGCTGGACATCCACCGCCATCCTACTTGCCAATTCCTGTGGCAGCATCCAGCCCAGGCCTCCGCCACCCAGCACATCCCTGATTCTGGTCAACCCCGTGGCCACGGTCCTCCTTTCTGCCAGCCACTCGAACCTGCGATGGTAAAGGTGCAGATTCCTGAGCAATGGCTCTCTGACGATAGCCGCTGTGCCAGGTTTCTTTAATGATATAAATTATCTTAGCCACCTATAATGATTGCAATAAGGTCAGCCAGTTGTAACTCATTGAATATGAATTCCCTGATTGGGGCTTTTAATCTGGTCAAATCAGCAGGGAGCCCTGGCTGACAATGAAAAAAAGCAGTGTCAGATATTCTGAGGGAGCTGGATCAGTGTCAAGCACCTTCCACATGTAAATAAAGGGTGACTTGGTGATGGGATACCAGCTTCTCAAGTTATTTCACTGCCAACACCTTTTGTTAGCTCAATTAGATTTCACCATTTAGCCAAGGTGAGAATCTTTGTCCAATGGACAGAAAATCTAATCCAAGGAGAAAAACTTCACAACTGGACAATTTACAACTCATTAATCAGACCTTGCTGGGAAACATCACAGTCCATTTTTCTGAATGAACCACCAGACTTGCTTTATTATTATCATAGAATCCCTGCAGTGTGGAAATAGGCCCTTTGGCCCAACAAGTCCACATCAAACCTCAGAGCATCCCACCCAGACCCATCCCCTTGTAACCCACCTAATCTACACATTCCTGAACACTACAGGCAATTTAGCATGGCCAATCCACTTAACTATGGACTGTGGGAGGAAACCAGAGCACCCAGTGGAAACCCACGCAGACACAGGGAGAATGTGCAAACTCCACACAGACAGTCGTCCAAGGCTGGAATTGAACCTGGGTCCCTGGTGCTGTGAGGCAGCAACACTGAGCCACCATGCTGCTCTAGTAGATAACATAGTAGATAACACTCTATATTGAGGCACAATTCAATTTTATCTGCAGTAATTTTTGTCTGGTTTAAAGTTCCAAAGAAGGGTCACTGGACTCAAATCGTTAACTCTGTTTCTCCTTCCACAGATGCTGCCAGACCTGCTGAGTTCCTCTAGCACTTCCTGTTTTTATTTCAATTTTGTCTATACTTGCCTGCAGAAATTTTGGGACAGCACTTTTCACATGGAAAGCTCATGGTTAGGGAAGAGGTGATGTCATCAGCAAAGATAGTGTTCATTTTCAATATCATTGATGATTATGAATAACAAAGTGGACCCAAGTCTATTTGGCTGAAAGCATGATGTGTAGATAATATGGTTAAACGACAAACTCCCATTTGTGATGAGCCAATCTGAGAAAGTTGTATACTCTGCTCAAAAGCTCATCAAATATATAATAAAAAGCTAACTTCACAGTGCAGGCAAAATATTGTCCACAATCAAAAGTTATTGAATTGTGAAAAAGGAAAATGATATTACAGGGTGGAGTCAGCACAGCTTTGTCAAGGGAAGGTCACGCCTGACAAATCTGTTTGAATTCTTTATTTAAGCAAATTAAACAAGAGTGCCAGTAGATGTGATCTATTTGGATTTCCAAAAGGTGCTGCACAGGAGGCTGTTAAGTAAGATAACAGCCCGTGGAGTTAGGGGCAAGGTACTGGCATGTAAAGAGAGTCAGCCAACAGGCAGAAAGCTGAGAGTGGGGATAAAGGGGTCATTTTCAGGATGGCGGCTGGTGACTACTGGAGTTCCACAAGGGTCAGTGTTGAGATCACAACTATTCACTTGATACATCAACAATTTGGACATAGGAACTAAGGGCATTGTTGCTAAGTTTGCAGATGACACAAAGATAGGTGGAGGGACAGGTAGTGTTGAAGAAGCTGGGAGGCTGCAGAAAGAATTTGACATGCTAGAAGAGTAGACAAAGAAATGGCAGATGGAATACAATGTGGGAAAGTATAACGGTATGCACTTTGATAGGATGAATTATTTTCTAAATGGGGAAAGGCTTCGAAAACCTAAGGGAAATTTGCAAATCAAAGGGACTTGGCAGTCCTTATCTTATGGTCTTATGGAAGACCATTGTGCTACTCATTATTATAGGTTGAGCATTCTCACTGTTAAGATGTGCAGGTTAAGTGGATTGGCTTTGAGAAATGCAGGGTTACAGGGAAAGAGTAGGTACAGGAATGGATCTTGGTGGAATGCTCTTCTGAGGGTTGGTGTGGCCTTGATGGGCTGAATGGCCTGTTTCCACACTGTAGGGATTCTATGATTCAATGACTAATTTCTGAATAGCTATATCACATCAATCTTATACAATTATTGTGATATTGACGTTTGGGGCTGTTTTTGGGCTGGTGATTGGTGGGACAACTGTGAAACACACCTCTCATCCCAGAGCAGAAACTCACCATATCTCAACTCCTGATCTCCTTATAAAATCGCAAGTGGGTTTCCAACTCCATCACCGACCTTACAGGAAAACCTACTCTCTTGCAGTGTCTAAACAGAGCAGAAATGCAACTTTTAAAGCAAAATTGCATCTCCTTCAATGAGATTTTATAGTTTGGCTGTGAGGAAAGGCAAGCGCTCAAATGTTTCACAGGTGTGGTCCCTTGAGGTCCTGCTGGAAGAGCTTAGTGAAAAAGGGGCAAGTTATCTTTGGAGCCCAGGCTTGGTGAATCCAAAAAACATCCTTTGCACCAGACATGGAAAGACATGGCTGAAACTGTAGCAGCAGGAATGTTATCTTTAGGACTTGGATCCAATGCAAGCAGTGCTTCAATGAGCTCTCACAATTAACAAACGTGTGTACAGTTCTCTCTCTCTCTCAACAACACATGACAGATATTACAAGGTATCATGCACCTCCAGACGAAATACTACAATACCCTTTCACCCTCGTTACAACAATAATAATAACATCAACTTGAGTATTAATTAGAATTAGAAATAGAATTAAATTTTATTGTCACATGTACTCAAGTACAGGGGTACTGAGAAAAATTCACAAAGCTGCCATTCATGGCGCTATCTTAGGTACAAGGAAGCTTGGTACAAAATCTTACATAAAATGTATAAAAATAAAGGAATAAGTTAGAAGTTCAATATTACAGTTCTTCTCAGTATAAAGTAAATAATAAGTAAAATTAAAATTTCCAAATTACGGTCCTTCTTTAGCCATGGACCTGCAGTCACAGTAAAATAAGCAGTGAAGCATATATTCCTAAACTTATCGAAAGTAACACATACTTTGGAGCTCCAGATATCATTAATTCAGTACGCATTATAGATTATAGCTTTAAACACAACACCAAGTCAAGTAGCTGCAACACAGTTTCTGGGAATGATGGTAATTATGGTTCAGTGAAACATTCAAAGCAATACATTTCTTAATGTTCTTCTGCCTTGGGGATTGCTGCTGGGAAATCAGTCAAATTGTATCAGATGCAGTACGAATATTTTTATATAGTAGTCAGATTCACATAATAAAGGAGTAGGGTAGCAAAATCTTCAATTGGTACAAACTATTGATTTAGTAGAGTAAAAACAAAGATATTACCAGAACTCCGGGAATCCATGCAGCAATAGCATAAGGGGTTTGCCCCTTTCCCCAGCAGCAACATAGTGGAACCGTAATCCTGACTCCTGGAAATTTACAGAAAGAAAGAAAAATGGAGTATAATATATGTCATCCTTTTTAGAACAGCAGGTAGCAATTTAAAAAAAAAAATATTTTGTATACACATGTGCTGCATCCACCAGCTGCACTAGAAATTAGAGTTACCAAGTACACCAGTGTTATTGGATCAGGCTGAAACCATGATATAAAACAATAAGTAATCTTTACATTCTATACCTGTCCACGGGAATAATCAGACAGGTCCTTGAGTATATTGCAGTTCCCTGTATAAATCAGGCATTCAACAAAATAGGAGCAATATGGTGTGAAGTTTAGGGGACAATTTTGACGTTGTACGTAATGATATAGAAATATAGAAACAGAAAATAGGTGCAGGAGGAGGCCATTTGGCCCCTCAAGCCTGCACCACTATTCAAAATGATCATGGCTGATCATGCAATCTCAGTATCCCATTCCCGCCCTCTGCCTATACCCCTTGGTCCCTTTAGCCATAAGGGCCATGTCCAGCTCCCTCCTGAATATATCTAATGAATTGGCCCCTACAGCTTCCTGTGGGAGAGAATTCCACATGTTCACAACTCTTTGAGTGAAGAAATTCTTCCTCATCTCAGTCCTGAACGGCTTACCCCTTATTCTTAGACTGTGACCCCTTGTTCTGGACTTCCCCAATATCAGAAACATTCTTCTTGCATCTAGCCTGTCCAGTCCCATCAAACTTCCTTACTGAAATACATAAAGGGGCAATAAGGGCAATTTCTCCCTTATCAACATTCTATCTCCGAGCTGTCTACATGCCCAGGTTCAGGAGGCATGTTTTTGCCTTTCTCTCCGGTATGAAGGATTACAAGCTCCACATGGTAACTCATGGGTACCAACACCCTTCCTAATCCTTACTCCCCTCATTTCCAACATCATCTCTTCCACAAATCTCAATCCTTGGTCACACTTTCCCTTCTTTTCTCCCTCCATTCACCACCTCCCCTCCATTACACATTTAAAGACTTCTACATTTTATTGATATACTTTGGTGTTTTATGTGATTATCACTCATCTTTAACATTGTGAACCAAAATGCATTTTCCCATTTTGTGTGGAAGTTGTACATTTTTTATTTCTTTTCACATGGTCCAGATTCATCATTCTCATCATTATTGCTTCACCTTATGTTCATATGATACCACTCTGCTGCTGCTCATACTGCAGGTAGGTTTCCGGATCTATGTCTCTAAAACATCCAGAATATTACTTGCTGCTTTCAAGTATGGAGGCACAGGAGGTCACTTCTGCAGTCATGATTTGTTTCTGGGACCCCTGTTTGGTTTGTGTAGTTAAGTATTGGATGTGGGGGTACAGCAGTATTCCGCATGACTTTTCCTATTAGATAAAAGCTGAATGAAAAAAATTGCAGCTCTGTAGAGAACGGGCAGAGGAGTGAGATTAGCTGCCCTGTTCTTGCAGAGTCCATGATGGGCTGAATAGCCTCCTATACTTCTAGTACTATAACATATTGGCTTCACAAATCAGTTTCTAATATATTTGTTATTTATTTGCCCGCATTGCCATCACAGAAGTTACTTTACCCTGCAATGATAATCCAACTGAAACACAATGCAACACACTGGCAAAGCCTGATAAGAATGTGTGCTTTTCTCTAGGTGTGTGGCTTCCAGAAGTAGTGTGATGATTGACAGGCACACGCTGAAGGAACACAGGCAGAAGGTGAGATCAACTGTCAGAGACTCTGTGATCCACCAATCGATTGCAATCTATATGTTGGAGGCTTTCGCTGCAAACTGAGATTATTTACACTATTTCCAGTGACATTAAAGCATTGTTGCAATTTTAGCCCTCAATATTTGTTCCTAACTAAATAGGGCATCCATTACCATTTTTAACCATGTTAGAACTTTCAAATTAAAATTAATCACCTTTGAAACCCTATCATTGTACATAATCTGAACCATTTTTGCAGTTTTAATCAGCAAAAACAGAATATATAATTCTTTGCAGTTACCAAACCAAAGTAATTTATTACAATTAAAGTTTTAAAAAAGATTATAATAACAGCAGTGAATAAATGAGCATAACATGATCTAATTTGATAGAACAGGAAGCATCCATGTATTATTAAATTTGTACTTAAAATGACTATGATGCACCATGGTAACTAGGAATGTTTAGGTGACCCTAATTGCTCTAGATTCTAGTGTCCTCCTCCACATCTCTTCCCCTTTCATCGCTTACACCCACATCCTCCCCACCCCTCCATTCAGATAACTTCTTTCTCAATCTTTGAGCTACAGAACAGCGTGGGAAGATTACAGAGCTTCCACAGTATCTCTCCTATAATGATATTTTACTGAGAGCTGTGAACAATCCTGAAAACAACATGGTCCTTAACATCGAGCATATTTTTCCTGCCTTATCCTTATCTTCTATTTCTCCAACATTCTCATTTTCTTGCATTTCAAGTATTCTCTTTCATCTTCCAATTGCTTGTTATTTCTGGGTCCTGCTTTCTTTTCTTATGAAGACCTCTGTCTCTGGGCCATTGGGTGTTTTGAAGATCTCCATTATTCAGGTTAGCCATTATCCACCGATTAGCCCATTCCCAGCTACACCTTGCTCACTTTGTGACTCTAAGATATTTCCTGCTTTCAAAACCCTCACTTCAATAAAGGGAACTACCTCAAGCCCCCACCCCATCAATTGTGCTTTGTGTCCATTCCTCTTCTACGTGTCTCTTGATTCATCCTGGAGAGGTAACTCCCTCTGGATCATTAAATCCCCCTCCATCGTTAATGCTGCTACCTTTCGTACTTAAGGATGTGTCACATACATCCTCAGTGTCACTTCTGAAGTGTGCTTTTCTTCAAAGCACCCATATTGACAGGGGAGCTCAAATTTCACAGCATTTCTTGGTGGAATGCTAGAGCATACAGTGCAGTAGCACTGAAGCTTGAATTAGCAGGAAGAGGGTTTTAAAATGGACAGGGAGAATAGGTATCCTAAACAACCTATGAAAAACAATTAGTTTTGAGAGAAAGACAAGGCAAAGATAACAGCATTTCATAACAGATGGATTCATCCACTAGATATCAAAAGATGGTATTTATTATGAGCAGAGTAGAAATCCATACACACATAGGAAATGTTGCAGCTTAAGGCAGAAGAACAGCAATTGATCACAGGCCTTTCAATCACTGATCTGATCAACAATTTTCTAACCTGGTGCATGATTGGAGTTGTAAGTTAATGAATATTCCAGTGTGTTTAAGCAGTACAAATAAAATCCATTTAATGAGCTCAAACCCACATTCAAGGAAAAGGTGCTGAAATGTTCATTATAATTGTCATAACAAAAAATGGATTAAAAGACTGATAAGACACCCAGTATTAAATTTATCTCAAGGTATTTTCCTAATTCTTCACTTAAAGTGGTGAGAAGTGAGGTGCCACAAAAAACTGTCTGCATCATTCAAACTAATCACAAGATTTTTACAATGCTGACTGTTAGCTGTGGTGTGAGATATTGTGACTTCCAATCAATCTGAAACCCAACAGCTAAACAAATAATGTTTCAGATGGTTTCATTTCAGACAAGCTATGAATGGTCACTGCATCTCTAACCATTTGACCTTTTAAACAGCTGAGACCACAAAATAAATCCGATTTCGAAGAACTGTTCGCTGCAACACATTTAATTTTGATGAGGAAAAGCACGCTTTATTCATCTTCCACATCAAACTGTTAAAGAATCTGTTAAAATATATGGCTGGCAGAAAAAAAAGCAACATCACATCATTAGCTTCAAATTGTAATTGGCCCACCTTTTTTTGTTTGTTAATTAGGAATGCGATTTTTATAAGCGACTATAAATATTTATATTGAAATCTTTAACTTGGGTATTTTCTCAGGTGGACTCCCCCAACGTTAAGGAAAAGAAGAAGAAACTAAATGGGTTTCGAAATTCGGTGTTTGGGTCCAAAGAACTATTCCAATGTGGTGCCCACATGACATGAGATTTGCTTGCTCTGAGGCACTTTTGTAATTACTATTCCAATAACGTGCTAGTCAAGGCACAGTTAGGGGTGACCTACAGTGAGAGAACGTGCCTGGCAGGTAAAAGGCTCTTTACTTTCTGATAAAACCTGACAGTTTCTAAGTTCGATGAATGTGGCTCGGGGGAAACTGCGCGAACACGCGGTGGACTTAACAGTGAATAGATGATGGTGTGGGAATCAAAATGATGCACATCAAAATCTGAGCTCTGCAACCATTATTCAATGAATCAAGTGAGCGCGTTTCTAAAGCGCCGTTGGTTTGACTCTGGCTGTGTCGCGTTTTACTGAGGAGCTATCCCCGATTTCAGCACTTTGTCCACAAACTCTCTGCTGAGGATAAACAATCGTGGCAAAATGGGAGAAATGTTAATGTGGCGCAAGGACTGCAGTGCATGGTGCACAGTTCAGGAACTGGAGGGATCCAGCCATTTCAAAACACTGTAGTTTTATTTGTTGCTTTTCTAAAAAAAAATTACCATTTGTTTTTGCTTCATTTCAAGGTCTGATATTTGCAAGCGTTCCATAACAGTTCAGTCCCACCCCCGGAGCAAATATTAAAACATCAGGCACAGGCCTCCTGTCGACTGACAAAATTCAGGAATAAACCGGGGTAATGACCAGAATAAATGCAATAAAAAATTGTAAAGAGCAGCCTGCCTTCCTTCCAGTAAACCCCAAACGTGCGTCCAGTGCTGACTTACCTTAATCCGCACATAGCAGTGTGTGCCCAGGGACGTGTCGTTTAAGCAGGCAGGCAGCGTCTCACGAACTGCCCACTGGAAGGTCTCTGCTGGTTTCCTGATTATGTGCCACAAAACTTTCAGTGAGACCAGGCAGGCACAGAGCCCGCAGAAACTGTACGTTAGAGCCCAGAGGAAGGATCTCACCAGGAGTCGAGTTGTGAACATCAGGAAGTCAGACAGCGGGCTCACCATAGTCCCACTGGGAATGAATGAGGGAGCTGTGTGACTCGCAGCACCTTCACCTTCTCCAGTGCCAAGGAAGATCCCCTTAAACTGAAGTCATGGAAACCACTAGAGATCGCAACGTCAAGCATTGCGCCTACGTAAAGCGCACTGTTTTTACAAATAGATGTGGCAGATTTCATTGGCCGCATCAGTGTCTGCAATCGGAAGCAGCTCTCTCTCACCCCTCCACCCCCTCGAAAGCCACTCAGAGGCCACACCGTGAGCCCCACAGCCAGAGAAATCTTCAGCTGCAGTGTGCTCAGGTGCTGGTACCGGTCACCGTTCAGAGACAGTGAAACATAACATTAAGAGCCCACGGTAACCGAGTGAAATAGTGTCACCAAAAGTACAAGAGTCACATTTGCTCAAAAGTAGCAAGACTGGTAGTTAAGACATAACCCTCTGCTCAATAGGCAAAAAACCCTACCATTCAGTAAACACGATCAAACCCCAAAAACTACATTCCTCAAAATCACAGCCTTTGCTGCTGAGAACAGGATTGGCGGTCATTTGGGTGAGTGAATAGTCTCGGGGCGACGGGGAGAGTAGGAGAGGGATGAGATGTTGGTTATGTTGTGAACTGTTTCATTCCCTCCCTCTGGGATTTGTGGTATTTTCCCAGATAACCTTGTGAGATCTCCCAACTGGGACGAGTCTGTGACACTGGGTCGTTTGTTTACTATCACCAATCCTTTGTATTTATTTTGTCTTGGGCCTGTCCAGTGATTAATGGTACAGGATACACCATCATAAAGTACCTACAGAAGAGATATTGTTCTTGGACAAAAAGAAGGTTTATTGTTACAAACCACACAAACTTGGAGCAGGTGCCCGTTTATTGATTCTTAGTGAGATGATTTGGCATGATCTCGATCAGCTCTGGCCGTATAATGTCCAGCTTCAAGCTGCAACACGTCAGCTGATGCTGCAGCAGTTTCAGCTGACTCGCAACAGCGAGGGCACTGAAAGAGCGACAGTGGTCATAGGGCAAATGCTGTTATCCTGAGGACGGAAAATTCATGATCAGTGAAGATACTTTCACTCTGCAGTGCGGTGCCTCAAGAATCCTAGTAAATTGTTGTTGGACATATTACTGGGCTGTAGTGAACAGCTTTATAAAAACCCCTTTGTCATGAAGTGACCGTATTGTGGCTTATGCTCAAGACTTCTATGTTTTACAGGCAGACAACATTATTATCTTTCACTATCTCACCCTTATGAGGGCTATAGATAGGATAAGAAAACACTTCTCCCAATGATGAAGGTATCAATGAGCAGGAACACAGATTTAAGGTAAGGGACAGAAGGTTTAGAGGAGATGTGAGGAAAAACTTTTTCGCACAAGGAGTCGTGAGAATCACTGCCTGTAAGGGTGGTAGAGGCAGAAACCCTCATAACATTGAAGTATTTAAATGTGCACGTGCAATGCCAAGGCAAACAAAGCAATGGGCTAAGGGCTGGAAAATGGGATTAGAATAATTTGATGGTTGTTTTTGACTGGCACAAACATGGTGGGCCAAAGGGCCTTTGTCTGTGCTGTAGCTCTCTGATTCTATTACTATTTGTTCCCATTTCAAAGTAACCTTTTTATATGAGTCTTGTCTAATTTCAAAGATCTGGTTTTAACTTGTACACAGGTTCTCTTAATTCTAGGCTACCCAACCAATGAAATGGTTTCTACCTACCCTATCTGCTTCCTTCAATATCTTGAAAACTTCTATTAAATCATTCCATAAACTATAAGCAATGGTCTAGGTAGCCTCGTCAGGGTATACATAGACAAAGCTTGAGTCTTGCCCCTTGTATTTCGAAAGACAAGGCACAAAATTGGTCAGTTGATTGTCTGGAATTATGGATGGTTTGATTTACAAATAGGGTTTTGATTTTATTTTTGCTGTAGTGTTACATTTACAAGGCCAAGATGACAAAGTGATGGTCAGCCACAGACGGAAGCTAAGGTGCTGGACTGAGCAAGTGGGATCACACTTACAGTTGGTTGAGTCAATATGGACAGCCTGGCTGGAAAGGGAATGTGTTGGCTGCCTCCTCCCTTCCTCCTCGACTAGTTGTTGCATACCTGGTGGCAAAGACTGTGCCCTGCTGATGGTGAGGTTTGCATTATGCAGCAGATCACAACAAATCTTCACAATACAAGTACTACAGTTCTCCTCCGGCATGGTCCAGGTAATGGAGGCATTGTATCTAATGGCCTGTACCATCATGTTTCATGTGCTTTGGTTATATGCATAATGCCCACAAGTGCATGCGTTTCATATTGGAGCCATGTGATCAGTGGTAGCCCTTGTCAGCCAGCAGCTTTTTTTGCTGTAGTGGCTCAAATGGTCCAGAGAACTGCTGCAGATTGAAGAATTGTGATTTCTGGCAGAATATCAGAACTGACCTGGTGACATGCTAGGTATGGCTGCGTATCATATAGACTTTGAGGGAATGCAATCATTTCCAGTTGTGCCACATCTCAAAATTGATTTGTAGCACCCATAATGTGATGCAGTCAGTAGTACTCTGCACCTGGGGGAAATCAGCAATTCTTGCTCAGCCAAATGCTCATGGTGCCACTTCTTTTCGGCCAAATAAATGAAATAATTTCAGTTCTTTGAATGCAGCTCTCCCTTTGCTCTAGTGGACAGCAGTCTGGGACATGTTGGCTGCTTTAGCCAGGATAGAGCAAGAGATGTAAATGTCTATGGCTGCTGTATTCTTCATAGTCATTGGCAATGCCACCCATAGCCTGGTCTGAGGTTGCAATTGGCAAATTTGATTGAGGACATCCTTACTGAAGTGGAGATGTTTGACATATTATTCAATATTGAGGTTCAGATAGAAACATTGGCAGGTTTTGGCACTTGCTGAGAGCCCCTTTCCCCCTCTTTGAGCAGTTATTTCTCCACTCTTGCCTCTGTTCATTCTCCCTGTTATGCTATAGTCAAAGTGAAGGTTGTCAAACAAGGAGATGCAAACTCCTCCACAGTCTTAGAGAGTTTTGTGCAGAACTCAAGTCAGGACAAAATCCTTGAACATATGGCGTGTCACTTTCTGTAGACTGAAAGTACTTTAAGTAGCAATATGAATCATTTAGTACAGCAACAGCAGGTAGAAATTATTCAGCAGCTAACGAAAAAGCAAATGATCCCTTTAAATAGAACTGATTATGGGAGGGGCTTGGAGTGTTTCCTATTACTGCAGTTAGTTAAGGGAGGACATCAGCTGGAACATTGAGCTGAGATGCAAGCTCTAGCATTAAATCTCTGGTTGAACATTGTTGCTTGCAGCACACATTTCCTGTGCCTGCACAATATTCTCACCAAAACTGCATCCAGCACAGCCAACTAGATATATGCCATGGACACCTATAGTGCTGTAAAAGGGCATAATTCAACTGATTCTTACAGCCCATATTGCTTGAATTTTCTGATGAAACTTGATTATAACATTGGTAGAAAATAGCATTACAATTACAGATCTCATCCTCAAATTATACTGAAGATTGTATTAGTGCTACTGTCATTCCAGTTTGGAGAATTTTTCATTAATGACCACTTTTGAGTTCACTCATTCCTCACCCTTCCCTTTTCTTGGTGAATGTTGATATGTAGTGAATTAAATTTGCACTACACAGTGTCAGACATTGACCATCTGCCTCCCTTTTTTTATTCACTCATGGGAATTGGGCATTACTAGCTGGCCAGCATTTATTGCGCATCCCTAGTTGCCCTTAAGAAGGTGATGGCAAGCTGCCTTCTTGAACTGCTGTAATCCATTTTCAAGAGATGCACTCACAATATCATGAAGGAGGAAATTCCATAATCAAATTTCTCACCATTAACATCTTGGGGGTGGGGGTGGGGGGGGGTGCGCACCAATGACCATACATTTAATTGAATCAGTCACATAAGTACGGACTTGAAACATTAACTCTGTTTCTCTTTCCATAGATGCTGTCATATCTGCTGAGTTTCTCTGGCATTCTCTGTGTCAGATACATAAATATTGTGGTCACAGGAGCAGACTGGAAGTGAATCTGCAATGAGGAATGATGCATCTCTCCAAAACCTTCCTACAAGGATCAAGCTAGGAGTGAGATGGAATACTCTCTTCTTGCCTAGAATATTTAATGACACACAAGATGATGAACACCATTCAGGACAATGTAGCTTGCTCGATCATCACCCCATTCAACAACTAAGATAATCAACTCTCTCCATCACTGGTGCGCCATTACGCAGTGTGTATTATCAAGAAGATGCATTGCAACAACTTGCCAAGCTTCCTTCAGCAGCACCTTCTAAAGCTGCGACCGCCGCTGCCTTAAAAAGACAAGGTGCATGAAAGCTCTTTCCAACTTCCCTTCCTGATTTGGAAGTTTATCACAATTCTTTCATAGCTGATGTATCAAAACCCTGCAACAGCACTATGCGAGTACATTCACCATCCTGACGTAAGTGGCTCAAGGTGATGACTACCATCATTTTAGAGACAATAACATAGGTAATAAATACTGACCTTGCCAGCAATGACTAATTCCTTAAAACAATAATTTAAAAATGCCCATATATTTAGTTGCATCATTTAAAAGAAGCACTTAGTGATCCATGGCTATTTCAGTATCATGCTATTCAGTTCATTATTTTGTCATTTACTTATATTTGTCTCTGTGTCACTTGAAGAGGCAATTGCATTTTGGTACCAGTAAGAAGGCATATGAATAACAGGTGATTTAACAATTATTATCACTGTCATTGGCTTATTGCATTTAGTTGCAATGTATTTTCAGAAGGATGATGATTTTATGCAAGCAAACAAATCAGTTTTTCTTTCCAAATATGATGAAAGTTTTGTCAATTTGCAGGAAAGGTTGAAGAATTTTAAAACTGCAGCATATTTGACAGATGGAGCAAGCCCTTTTAAAATCCACTTAAAGATAGGCAGTGAATGCCCATTATCTTAGGTGAAGATAGTGAAGTGTATGAGTCAGTGATTTGAGATATTCTGTTCACTTATTCCTCATTAATAATCCATCTGTTTTCTTCGTGG